CCCAGGAACCTATAATTTTCCTAGTGGGACCTGATTTTGAATATTCTACTTCCTTCTTCAATCAGTTTCCCATGCAAATTTCATCACACTAGGAGCAACATTTTCCCCACTGTTATCAAACCCGGTGTGACGTCATCTCTCTAAGCTAGATGGACCCGTGATATACACCAGAGAATTCCGAGGAAAATCACCAAGCAAGACGCATCGAGCATACAATCGGTTCGAGATCCGGTGAGGATGATGAATCTCCATTCGATTACAACGTTGGGGAGCGAGGAGGGCCAGCAGCCTCATCAGACTTCGACTCGAATCGGAGTTTCAAAAGGAATTTGATATGAAAAACACTATAGAAAACACACCTAACATTTTATTTCACGATAAAGGCATGTGAGTAGTGGATAACGCGTAAAACACGTGATAAATGCGCAACTCTTTGAAGCCGCACCTCTTCTTTCCGCATTTAGTTATCATTCCGCTAACGTGAAAAACCCAGGAAATATTTTCCGTCAATTTTTGATCAATTTTCACAAACCCAGTATACCACATCGAACCAACCTCATCCATCTCTCCCTCGCATCTTTGATCCATCCGATGCTCAACAGCTCCAATGACGAGCTCCTCTTGATTCTATTGGGGAGGAGTCGACGTTGATTCAAAGCGGTCAAGCTTTGCGTTCTGAGCGAGCTCATCACAGTGTTAGAGTAGGAATATATTTTCCCTTTCCTCGACTGAGCTCCGGAGTTTCCTCACGGATTTTACAAGTTTACATACGAACTCGGGTAGAAATGTATAGAACCCAGCGACAATTTCCCAAGATTTCCTCCTAGAATTTCCATATTGTCACCAAACATGTGCATATTTCCCCCCAAAATACTCAACTAATGAGCAAGCAAATACTCACAGAGGCTTCGGCAAAGGCTCTAGCCCTTTAACTGTCTCCGGCGACGACAACATTGCCTCGAAATCACCCAATTGAATCAGACCAAATCGTGCGGCGGTCATCTCCAACAACTTAAAACCAATCTGATCCCGACCCAGGTTCAATTCCCAGCAGAGCTACTTTTCCCACCAAATTTGTATCCGGATCAAACTCCATAACCCTCGTCATGAATGTCACATTTTCACTCATTGGTAGCAGCAAAATAATAATATCCTCCTGAAAAGCACCCTCAGCCAACACGTCCAATGGCCGTTAACTTACCAGATTCATCTGTGGTGTGCGCGAGTCAACTCCAACCTTATCAATTATACTCCTCAAGTGGACCACGGCGAACCCCTCCTGTTCATTAACAAACCTGAAACTCAGAAACCGTCAGAATAAAACTCAATGAAAACTTGAGATTATTTTACAATCATGTTTTATGATATTTTCTCCCCGGACGAATAGACATAGTGCAGGGCTATCCTACATCGATATAAAACCATCATAAGGTATTAACGGTCAGCAATTTCCTCCTTTTCAGCGTCACAAGATGAAAGCGCCCGAAAATTCAAATCATATATCTCTATACAAGTATGCTCCCCTCCCTCCACGACCACCAGCCTCTTACCATCTTTTCCTCACCATAACTTCCCTCCTTCTCATGGTCAACTTCATCTTCACCGACGCTCTCACAATTGAAGAAAACGGTGTTGTCTCCTGAACACAACCTACTCTCAGGGTGGGAGGGGAAATATGCACATGGTCAGCTACATGTGTCGCTGAGCATATGAAACTTTGCAGTGAATTTCGAAAGTTCTTTTCGGTTTGTGTCTACTTCTCCCCATAATTATCGGGGAAGCTCCTCAAACTCAGCTGATGAAATCGAGCATATATCATTTTTACTCCAACACTGCCCCCCTTCACCTCAACTGTCAACACCTCCGCTCTGGAGGGGAACGCGATCTCATCGATTGCTATGCATGTAGTGAGGAGGTCGGAATGTAACAGACATGACAGCCTCGTTTTCAAACTCCTCCCACGGCATGGTTTAACCCTACACAAAAAATATGCATATCATCAACTACATGTGTTGGTGCACAATGTTGGAGTATATGTTCACTTTCCTCAGCTGAGCTCAAGAATTTCCTCACTGGTCGTAAAAGTCGGGGTAGAAGTGAACACAGGCCAACAAAAACCTCCCCAAATTTCCTCCGAATTTTCATTTTCCCCCCACATTATCGGTGAGCGTGTGAAAATTCTCAAGAAAATTTTGGGAAAATTCTGTTGTAAAGCGAGAAAACTACTACTATCTTCCTTCAACACTGTATAGGAAACTCTTCAACTCACTTCCATACATAATCGATCATCTGGGCGCGCGCTACTTGCAACATGCCTATTCCCATCCCACTCACCAAACATTCGCCTTCCCTTCCTCCCTCCTCCCCCTCAATTCATACCCTCTATCATCACTCAATTTCAACAGTAAATTATCCACCTCATCCGTAGCAGCCCCAAGCCGATCAAACACTGCATGTTTGCAAATCTGTCATCGTCAATTACCGTCACGCGCCACGAAATTCCTCCCAACAAAATTACTCTTTCACTCGAAGAAGCCAACAGTCTCCTTCCCAATTCTTCCGCAACAAATACCTAAATCTTGCCAAATCTTGCCAAATCTTGCATTTCCTCAACGCCAGCCCACCTCTCCGCTGTCCAGCAACCGATTAATGTTGGACATGACCTTACTTACATGGGCCTCTCTATCCAGCGGTGACGATGAAATATTACACTCACGACCTTATCAAAAAGGCAATGTGTGAAGTAATATTGGAGTTCCACCCGTTAAACGCGAAGTGGCGTAAAACCCCGTGAAAACGCGATATTTGCGCCTTGCAATAGTCGTGAAATATGTTTTTCACTAATGTTTTTCATATCACTAGGGTGGTGAAACTCCAATGTAATATATAAATAATACTAGCAGTAGTACATTAATGGAGGTTTACGTGAAGTGGCGTCGTAAAACTCGGTGAAAAACGCGATATTCGCGGTGATATGCAGTAGTCGTGAAATATAGTTTTTCATATCACTAGGGTGAAACTCCAATGCACAAATTCATAGTACTACGCATGCTCACCACAACTCACATTTCACTGCGCGTAGTAGTCTACTTCATATAGGAGTATATTAATACTTTTGGAGTTACATTGGAGTTTCACACATAATATACTAAAAAACACCAATGAAAAACTCATTTAACAATTTACTTCGCGGCAAACTGTCGGTCAAAGGAACACATCAGCCCCAAAAAGTGTACAAAAACCATCAAAAAATTCCCCAAATTTTCACGTCGTCACATTTATATGCATATTTTCTAACTCACCAACAGGCGTCGTCTCTCTCGCCGAAACTGCTCGTCGCGATGGAGGTGCTAGTGGTGGCACTAATGCAAAAAGAATATGCAAACCGTGTCGTCTCAACTTACCCAATTCTCCGGGCTGATGCTGTTGAGAAGTAGTTTTTTCTGATACTGCCCGTCTCAACAAGGGACCAGATGCATCTAATATTGAAGTTACTCCCTAGTGATATGCGAAAAAAACATATTTAACATTTCACTTCGCGAAAAACGCATAAAGTGAATAATCCGTAAAAACGTTACGCGTTTTACGTGAAATCGCGTGATTTCTCCGATGCAATTCACCAAGTGTTGTCACTTCATATCACATTTTTCACTATCACGCCACTTCGCGTAAAACAAGTAAAACTTCCCATTCCACCTGGCACGCTTTCGATACGAATCTCCTTATCATTTTCATACACCCTCAATCTCATCCGTCTCGGCGCACTACACTCCTCCTCCTCTTCCTCATCGCTGTCCAAACTGATACCACACCTTTCCCACATCCTACCACATCAACACACTCACCCTGTCTTCATCTTACTACTGCTGATACTGCCAACTGCTGTACTTGAATCCTCTCCATGGATCTAACAGGAGCTTCTCAAAATTGAATTGACTCTTACACATCTGGGATTGCTATGTGTGCTTTGCACACAGGGTACTTCTATCTCACGACAAGCAGGTCTAGATTCAGAATAATTCACCACATACTACAACAACACCTAGTGGGGGGGGGGAATATGCACATGGTCACTAGGGCACATTTACGGGAATTTCTGAGGAAGATTCTCATTGGTTTCTGTACACTTCTACCCGAGTTTGTATGTAACTTCTTAGACTCAGGTGAGGAAAGCAAACATATATTCCTACTCCAACACCACTGACAACAGCAACGACCCCTACTTCCAATGCCTCATCTGCATCAACACAGTCTTCTGTCTCCATCGCCGAGACCTTCACACCTATCATTGGAGTTTCACCACCCTAGTGATATGAAAAATATATTTCCCGACCACTGCATAAGTGCGAATATCGCGTTTTTCACCGAGTTCTACGACGCCACTCCACGTAAAACGGGTAGTCGTGAAACTCCATTGTATTAAAAACATCGCACACATACAGCCAAGTCGACTCGTTTCATGTTAGACCACAATGAAATTTCACCCTAGTGAGAAAAATACATATTTCACAACTACTGCATATCACCGCGAATATCACGTTTTTCACCGAGTATTATCACGCCACTTCACGTAAAACGGGTAGTCGTGAAACTCCAATGAATATTCCCTCTAGAACCCACTACCACAAGAATACATCGGTTTGACGTATATATTTCGCACAAGATATTATTTATAAAAATAACAATTACAGTCAACCACTACGAAGTGAACGATGTATGGTATTAAAATACGGCTTACTGGGGCCGTGGAGTCGTCGGCTCCAGGCTGGTGGGGGAGGGAGACCTTCTCCAATGCAGATCGATACACACATAATAAGGAAGAATCCACAACTATATAAATCAATGTTGGAGTAGAAATATATGTAATCGCTTTCCTCATCTGCTGAGCTCAGAAGAGTTTCCTATACAGTGTTGGAGTAGGAATATATGTAATCGCTTTCCTCAGCTGCTGAGCTCAGAAGAGTTTCCTATACAGTGTTGGAGTAGGAATATATGTAATCGCTTTTCTCAGCTGCTGAGCTCAGAAGAGTTTCCTATACAGTGTTGGAGTAGGAATATATGTGATCGCTTTCCTCAGCTGCTGAGCTCAGAAGAGTTTCCTATACAGTGTTGGAGTAGGAATATATGTAATCGCTTTCCTCAGCTGCTGAGCTCAGAAGAGTTTCCTATACAGTGTTGGAGTAGGAATATATGTAATCGCTTTTCTCAGCTGCTGAGCTCAGAAGAGTTTCCTATACAGTGTTGGAGTAGGAATATATGTGATCGCTTTCCTCAGCTGCTGAGCTCAGAAGAGTTTCCTATACAGTGTTGGAGTAGGAATATATGTAATCGCTTTCCTCAGCTGCTGAGCTCAGAAGAGTTTCCTATACAGTGTTGGAGTAGGAATATATGTAATCGCTTTCCTCACCTGTTGAGCTCAGGAGTTTCCTATACAGTGTTGGAGTAGGAATATATGTAATCGCCTTCCTCAGCTGCTGAGCTCAGAAGAGTTTCCTTACTAATAGAAGGACCTTTTATACGAATCTGCACCGAAACTAATGAGAATTTCCCAGAATTTTATCAAAATCTTCATATTGTCGCCGACACATGTAATCCACCCACTACCAAGAATCGAACCCACAACCCTTCAATACCACGATTGACCACTTAACCACTACACCAAATCACCATAGGAAGAAACGAATATTCCGTAGTCCACCCAGTAACAGTTGCCAATGACCATTCTATCAATACTCAGACGACACAGTACGAGGGCTTGCTATTGTCGACACTGTTTTCGATGGCGATAACGAACGACGCGAAACATAAGAAGATACACTTGCTTGGTAATCCAACTCCCTGACAAAAACAATATCATCACAACCAGGCACCCATCCAGCTTTGAGAAATAACATCTCTAATCTTCCCAATGTGATGACATTCACATGAGAAACTTATTGCTCAAGAACGTGGAAAATTCAAAGTGAGTTCCCCCCCCCTCCGGAAACACACAAGAAACCGCGTCCACCCTGTCTACATGTCTCTGACACAGTCCTACTGGGGATGGCAGTCACGCGAGGAAATTGAAAAATTCGTGGCTGACTTCCTCCGTTCACAGATGGTTTGGGCTTGTCCTTGCGGTCAGCAGCACACTTCTGAGCTTTTGTTAGGGGCTGGTTTCTTGTGTTGTAGCCGTGAACGTGTTGTCCTTTCGGCTCCGTCTTCTTGCCAGAGGCTTCAGCTCGAGTCTTCAACCTCAGAGATTTTCCATTACGCAATCTAGTCGAACCAATAGCGCGTTTGTGGTGAGTAGTCAGGTCATCCTCTGCATTAGAAGCTGCTCGACCAGCAGAGGTGGTGGGGCTCTGGCTAGGCCCGATCTCTTCGAGACTTGGCAACTGCTCTAGGATGAGATTGAATTGTGACCGTAGCTAGGTGTAGAGGGCCGGGGTGATTCAAAAATCTAGGAGCGCATCAAATGAGAATGCGCTAGGGTCAGGGAGGTAAAAATGACCAAAATATTTTTTTGTCGAGTTCAAAGTGCGTGACTTGGATTTATAAGTGATCAAGCATGGCAGCTCAATGGTGAAAGAATTAGGTCGAAGTTCGTCAAAATGAAAGAAAAAAGTGCCCGCCCAGTTCGCGCATTTCTGGATGGCGCGAACTGTATAGGTTCCTGAGTGGTGATGATGATGCATACAAAAGAAGGCGTATTTCAGGTTCTCTTTCAAGTCACGATGGCTTACTGAACATGACTTGCAGGTTGCAACTATTGAAGTGGAAGTAAAAAATGGAAAAAAAAGTCACTTCGCTCCGCTACACCCAGACTGTTGTAAACCTACCAGCGGTAAGTGGATGTTGCCTTAACCTTGTAATCCGCATCGAACACTCCGTGCTCGTATCTACCAAGGACAACCTCAACCTCGAAACTCTTCAAATGTAAATTCAATTCTAGAAGCATACGTATGTTTTCAAACTGTGTGAATCCAATACGGTGCGATTACTCAACTACATATGTTGATGACAATATAAAAATATCGAGATTACTCTAAGCTACTACTCGAATACATATGTAGACTACTACAAATCTGAGCTCAGCAGCTGATGAAAGCAAACATACGTTTCTACTCCAACACTAACAGCACGTAACCAACTAAGCGAGCACAGGTGATGCGATTCAACTTTTGAATTTTCTTCACTACCCCACATAACACCAAGTAGCCTCCATGTTCAACACCCTATCATCGCTACTGCTCTTATAACTCTCCGGGAACCAAGACAGTCACACTCAGCGATTGATCGATTTTCAACAACCACTCTCGATGAAAAAAATATACAAAATTTCCCCACATGTTTATATCGCCCCCAGTACAACAACAACAACATATACAACAACATATACAACAACAGCAACAACAACAACAACAACATTAACAATAACATACGCAACATATACAACATATACAACATCAACAATAACAATAACATACGCAACATATACAACAACAACATATACAACATATACAACAACATATACAACAACAACATATACAACAACAACAACAACAGTAGGCAGGTTTCGATGATGCTCACTTGACAGCTCAAGTCCTCCAAAAGTGCCATTATTGGGGCTCGTAACCTAACGGGGACAAGTGAACTTGTCAAATCGCCACACTTGGGAGGAACTGAGCCATTTTAAGTGATCGTGGAGCCTGGGGCTCCACCTACAATTCGAAGAGGATTTCGAACCTCTAACCCGAAGAAGATTTCTGGTACTCTTCAGTAGCCTGTATACAAACGATTGGTAAAGACTTACTCTCCAACTTAACATCCCCCAGAAGTGAAACTTTCTTCCGTAATAAATGATGAATAAGTAATAAGTGACGCCACTGGGCATTGAAGTGAAATGTGATAAAGGCCCAGCTTGAGAGGCATCCCTCAGAAAAATAGCTGAGTATTACTCGGTGAGGGATCGTCCGCGAGTTGAAGCAATGCCGTGAAACAGGGAGTCTGCGTCCCAAGGGTATAAATCGTTCAGCACGAAACCGTCGCCGGCTTGTAGTCCAATGCCGTGCAGTCCGTACTTCTTGGCCAGGGCAACCTTCTCGATTGCACGAGTTTGTGAGAAGAAATACAAACCGGTCCCATCCGAGAAGACGACTGATCCGTTCCCCCTGGGGTCCGCAACAAGGTCGTAGATTGCATTCGAGTATCCCATGTCCCCGCTATCATAGGTCGGCCTAGCGAGTAGTGGTATCTGAAAAGCAACGTTGGATTTCATGCCACACAGTATGTATGAAATCTGTCTGAGA